TGTGTTGAGGGACCTAATGAGGTATCACTGCGATTTGGCCCTAGAAACATGATATTTTGGCAGAAGTGGAGACCAATTTACAGGATTGATATTCTGTGGCCACAACTTGGGAAATATTGAACATCAATTTCATTTCACACCTTCCTTGTTTCTTTAGGTAAAAGTTTCAGGCTGGGGCTCTTGAGCAGGACACAAGGAAGGTATGTTTGGGAATGGAGCTCTGTCTCCCAGGGTTCTGGATAAATTAGAACAGGGAGATGCTAGAATAGAGTTAAAGCTGCTATAGATATTGTACTTACCTTGACGCAAGGGGTGGGCATAAGAGAAAGGATGAAGAAAGTGCAGGCACAGGAGCTGGACAGACCAGTTCAGTCCCAGCTCTGCCACTTACCACGATGTGACCCAGGGGTGTAGACTTCCCCTCTGCCCTTCATCTCAACATTTGTAAAATGTGAGTGCGTGCATCAGAGTTTTTTTGTGGATATTTAAAGATAAATATAAAGTGTTTAGCCTAAGACCTGGTATGTAGCAAGCGCTCAACAAGGATCAGCCTTTGTTAGTAGTACGTTTTTGTTGGGCCTGCAGTATGCCTCCCACTTGTCTACACTGGATTAAAAAAAACCAAAACACTTTTCAGAGTTGTTTTTGTTTTATTTTTTTTTTCAGAGTTGTTTTTCAAATGCCTGCTTGCTGGGTAGGGTGGGATAAAGAAGAGAGGTCAGGAGTTGATGGCAAATCTGGGCACACCTGGGTGGTAAGCCTCATCTGGTCTCACCAAGCTCATCTGCTTGCCCAAGAGGCCAGGTTACAGGTAAAGGTGTTCTACTAACTGCCACCTCTGGTGAGTCCAGAGGGAAGAGGCCAGAGAGCCTTGAAGGCAGAAAGCAGGGCCTGGGCAACCAGGGTAGCACAATTCGAGGGTCAGGGAAGAGGCAGGCAGGTGGCTAGCTGGTGTCTTCACAGTCACTCACTGGTCAGGAGGATCATGCAGGTAAGCAGGAGAGTGGTTCAGCACACAGATACACCTGAGCTAGGCACAGGTGTATGCAGCCCCTTCTGTGTGCAGGTGTGCAGGGGAGCACATCCTTGCCCACAGGAAGCTTATACGCTAGTGGCAGAGATCAGTGAGTGCGCTGGTGAAAATACAGTGTTTCATCAGCTTTGATGGGTGGCATGAAGGAAAGGAACAGATCATTGAGAATAAGACTGTGGAGTGTCAGGGCAGGTCTTTGGTGGGAACACTGAAGCCAAAGGAGCCAGAGATAACCAGGCAGGGAGAGAGGAGAACATTCTGGAACATTCCTGAAAGCACCGGGAGGGGCCGGATCACAGGTGGGGGAGGGGCAAGAAGGCAAGCTGTGTGAGGCGCCAGAGTTCAGTTCAGCTGCTGACTGGTTGGCTGGCTGGGTGACTGATTTCTCCAACACTAAGTAACCTCTTCAATAGAACAAGACTTATGGTACTGATCTCACAGGGTGGCATGAGACCCTAAATGCCTAATATGGAGCCCGGCACATAGGACTAAACAGTATTAACTATTACTTCTCTGGTTTTAGCAAGCAGAGTGCCTTGCATTTTGTTTTATGTATTTTTAACTTTTTTTTTTTTTTTTTTTTTTGAGATGGCCTCGTTATGTTGTCCGAGCTGGCTGAGAACTCACCATCTGTCTGCCTCAGCCTTCTAAGTCCTGGGACAATAGGCTTGTGCCACCACACCTACTTTAACTTGCTCATATAGACAAAAACTAACTCTTTTTTCTTTGAGACAGGGTCTCACTATGTAGTTCAGTCTGGCCTTGAATTCACTATGCAGTCAAGGCCAGCCTTGAACTTCCGATGATCCTCCTGCCTCAGGAGTGCTGGGATTATAGTCTTGTGCCATCCCACCCACTCACTTCTTAAATAACAAATAATGAGACCAGTCTCCACATGTTTTCCACCCTGCTTCAACAACTGCTTTTCGAGTTTCATCTACCTACAGATACACCTTTTCATCTCTATTGTTCCCCAACTCTTTATTATGAACATGTTCAAACATACAATTCAAAAGAATTTTACAGTGCATAGCTATACAGCCACTGCTTGGATTCTACCATTAACATTTTACTATATTTGCTTTCCACATGTCTATTCTTTTTATCTAAATTTTTTATACACTTCACATATACTGCAGACATTAGTATCTTTTTTGTTGTTGTTGTTTTTTTGTTTTATGTTTTGGTACTGGGGATCGAACTCAGGTCCTTGTGCTTGCGCAGCAGGCAGCAAAACCACTGAGCTAAATCCCCGGCCCGACATTAGTTATCTTTATTCGCCAGGTACTTCAACATACCTCCATTAACCAAAGTTCTGTTTTTTCTGAAATATTTTAAAGTAGATCTCAGAGCCAGATATGATATCCTTTCGTCCAGTAAATACTTTAGTATGTATCCCTAAAAAAGATAAGGAATTTTTTTTTGGTATGGGGTGGGGGGGGCGGGGGCGGGGCGGGGAGGAGGAAATGAACTCAGAACTGAGCTAAATCCCTGGCCCAGAGATAAGGAATTTTTTTAAACCATTGCCAAAATTATCTGCAACACAATGATAATTCCTTAATCTTATAGTTATCTCATGGTATCTGTAAGAAGTTCCCAGAACATTTTCTATTTTTAATTTCAAGACAGAGTCTTAGTAAGTTGGCCAGGCTACCTAGCCTTGAATTCACTATTCTTCTGCCTCAGACTCCTGTACAGGCAAAATTTCTTTTAAGTATTTTCAGCCAGTGGTGGTTGACTACAAGGGCAAGGCCTATGATGAAGATAATTGACTGTACCCAATTTGTACTCAGTGTCCTCCAACTGTCTTTGAATCATTCAAATCAGGATCCTCTAAAGGGCTATTAAGTTTTAATTTATAAGGCCAGGTGTGGTGGCACATGCCTGTAATCCCAGCACTTGGGAGGCTGAGGCAGGAGGATTGCTGTGAATTCAAGGTCAGTTTGGGCTACAGAGTGTGTTCAAGGGCAGCCTGAACTAGATAATGAGACCCTGTCTCAAAAAACAAACAAAAAAGTTTTAATTTATAATTATCACCTCCTCCCCTTAATGCCAGTTACTTATTGATTAAATGGGGCCATTTGTCCCATAGAGTTTCCACATTCTGCATTTGGCTGATGACATCTGTTATTAGCATGTCCCTTTAGATTGTAGGTAAGTACTTAGATCCAGAGGCTTGACTCAAATCAGTTACCAATCCTAGGCAAGAAAACTTCAGAAGTGTTGCTCCTTGTTTTTGACTGCATCATGTCAAGGACAACATGATGTTGGGTCATCACATGTTAGCGACGCTGGCTCATCAGTGAGTTTGGGGAGATCAGCCTGACTTCGCTTGGAAAGTTCTCCGTGACTCTTTGCCCAAATGGTTTTATGAGCCATTGGTTAGCAAAGCCTAGATCATCATTATTTTATTACTGGTTGCAAATGATGGTTTTCTGTTTCTATCAGTCCTTCACCTCCTAGCTGTCTTTGTTCTATAAACGCGTGACTTTCATCAAGCCTTTGGTTCTCCTGAAATAGTTTCCACAGGAAATGCTGGATATCTACTTGATTACATCCTTTTGTGTGTGTGTGTGTGTGTAAATTGATTTCAGAATAATGAATAGTGCTCTTGGCAACCTCTCAAAGTGTCAGGGACGTTTTGCTTTGAGTAACATCATGACCTCATGATTTTTTTGGTACTGGGGATCAAACTTGGGTCCTTGCGCTTGCGAGGCAGGCAGTGGAACCACTGAGCTAAATCCCCGGCCCCGACCTCATGATTTTTGAAAAGATACTTGATGTGTTTCAATCCATTGCCAATTACCATAATCCTTTTTATTTTTCTCTTTTTTCAGCACTTAGGATTGAACCCAGGGCTTTCATACTGGGCTATGTCCCCATTCTTTTAAAATTTTCTTTCATATTTTGAGACAGGGTCTCCCTAAGTTGCCCAGGCTCTACTTGCAGTTCTTCTGCCACAGCCTCCCAGGGAGCTGGGATTTGCAGGCACATGTCACTATGCCCAGTGGCCACAATCATACTTTGGTGGCCCTGTCTTTAGCAGGGCCCTTGGAGGTTCCTTGCTTTCAGGTACAAGACATCTCATCATGTACATTTCTGCCTCAGCCATCAGTCATTTCTCCGAAAAGTCCTGGGTCCCTTCAGTGAGAAAGGTACTTAGAAATCATAATTCAGAAACTAGGCATGTCTGGAAACTTCCTACAAGATATTTTGGCTCCTCTGTGTTTTCTGGACCAGAGGGACAAAACGGGCCAGGGAGATGGCTTAGGAGGCTTGTGCAATGGCCCAAGTGAGAGAGAACAAGTAGCTTGAATTTGATGTTAGATAAAGGACTTAGCACAATGCTTGAAACATTGTGGAGAGTGCAGTAAGTGTTGGCATTCTCTCATTGTGGGCTTCATTTAGAATTGTTCACTTAAGCCTCACCGAAACTATGGGAAAGCCATCCTTATCATCTTCATTGTGCTTTTTTTTGTTTTGTTTTTTTGCAGTTCTGAGGGTTGAACCCAAGTAGTGCTGAGCCATATACCTACCCTTTTTATCATTTTATTTTGAGACAGGGTCAAATAAGTTGCCCTGGCAGGCTTCATACTTATGATCTTCCTGCTTTGCCTCCCAAAGAGCTGGGATTACAGGCACATGCCACTTCGCCCAGCCTTACCATCCCCATTGTACAAGAGAACCAAGACTCAGAAAGGCGAAGAAGTTTGTTGAAGGTCACATAAGAATGAGAAAGAACTTGAATCCAGCCTCTGTAGACCCCATACTCCAACCAATACATTGTGTTGCTCATAGGATAGTTTCAAACACAAAAATTACTTAGTTTTTGACACAAGCCTGATCCATCAGTAAAGCTTACGCTTCATCAGATGTAAACTAGGGATCCTTCAAACCCTCTCCCCTGTACCTGGAGACTTCTGCATTGCTACATGTTAGCAAGGTAAAGTAGCCCTCAAGTCTGTTATTGATGCCCTTTATTTGCACGGCACATTCTCATTCTTTAGTACTTATAGGAGTCTTGTGAGGGTGGTATTACTCACAACTGAAAAGCTAGCCAAGTGTGGTAGTGCACACCTATAATCCCAGCACTCTGGGCGGCTGAGGCAGGAGGATCGCAAGTTCAAGTCTAGCCTGGGCAATTTAGTTACTTAGAAAGACCTTGTCTCCAAGAAAAAAAAATTTGTTTTGTTTAATTTTTAAAGGGCTGGGGACATAGCTGTGTGAACCCCCCTCCCCAAAAATCCCACCAAAAAGTCTAGAAATCTATGGTTCAAAGGTACAAATGCATAACCAACACTGAATGTTTTCCTGCATAGTGAGGGTGGCAAGACATGATGCCTGGATTCTGGGTCTAGAGTTGATTTTGCTTTTATATCTGGAAGGGGCAGAATGCTTTTTAGGAAGGCAAATTACCCTTGGGGCTCAATTGATTCCCACTGACATTGGCATCAAGATCTCTAGAGCTGCAGGAAAGCCCTGGATCAGCCTTGAAGCAGAGCGTCTGTCCCTAGTGGGGAGCAGGTGGCTGGGCCTCTGTGGTGGAGATCGTGTGGGACAGACAGGTGCACCTGTGTATACATAAAAGGCCTTTTCTAGATGCCTGGACCTTCTCAGTCCACCTCCTGCCAAGTTGCTCCCACTGCCTGGCAGGCTGATACTGTAGTAGTCCTGCCCCGGGACCAGCATGGGTAGAGGCCACGGACCAATTGGTGGAAAAGGTACCCACCACGTGACAGCTGGCATCATGGTAAAGTGTTGCAGAAAGAGCCTTGGTTTAAGCCAGGTATGGTGGTGCACACGTGTGATGCCACCTCTTGGGTGTCCGAGGCAGGAGGATTGAAAGTTTGACACCAGTCTGGGCTACATAGCAAGACCCTGTCTCAAAAACCAGAAAAGGAGAAACAAAACAAAGAGCCTTGGTCTTCAAGGCCAGCCAATAGCAATACCTTGAGTAACAATATACACGAGAAGAACACTCCAGTCATGCTCTTGGGTGCCAGCTCCATTTATGCAAGGCTAAGAAATTCACCCATGTGAGCTCACCCCAAAGGGCTGGTTGGGCTTGGTACTATTATTATCCCCATTTTACAGGTGGGTAAACTAAATGCCTTAGTTACCTTCTCATTGCTGGGTCACAATACCTGACACCCATGGTTTAAAGGAGGAAAAGTTTATTTTGACTCACAGTTTGTAGAGGTTTCAGTCCATAGTCAGCTGGCTCCAAGGCAGGGTGGCATGGCAGAGGAGGCTCGCTTATGGCATGGCTGTGAAGCAGAGAGAAGGACTGAGGGAGGAGGGAAGGAGATACACCCTTTCAGGCCATGCCCAGTGACCCACCTCCTCCAGCCAGGCCTCACTTCCCACATTGCTTTTAGGTATAAACAAATGGAAGAGTAGACAGATTAACCTACTGATGAGTTTCATGCCCCCACGATTTGATCGCCTCCTAAAAGCCCCATCTGTGAGTGCATGAGGTTTTGGAGGACATCCAGATGTAAACCATGACACTAAGGCTCATGTTACCTCCCACACCCATGTTCACACAGCCTGTGGGTGATGGAGCCATGATTGCAGTGCAGATAGCTGGACCCTGGTGTCTCTGCTCCTTGCGTGGGCTGTAGCTCTGCAAGCTCCAAGGAAAGAATCCCCTCACAGTCCCAGGGCCCTGCCCAGTGCCCTCTGCTGCCTCATCCCCACCTGTATCTCAGCTCCAGGCCGGCTGGCCTGCTTTGGTTCCTGGAGAGCACAGGCTCCATCCTGCTTGTGGGCTTCTGTGCATCCTGCTGTGCCTGTCCTCCTCTCAGCCTGCACCTGGCTGTCACCCTCCTTCCCTTCTCTGCTTTCCGAAAGCCTTGCCTTGCACTCCAATGCAGCACCCCTCTCCTGCAGCCACGCGCCCTCTCTGTGCCACTGGTCTCTCCTTGGTCACTATTCTGATGGTGCCTCCACACTCCTCTGTGACGCTGTTTGCTTCCCAGTGAGATCATAAACCCAGGAGGCACCTGCTTGAAGTCCCTGAATGCAGGTGCTGCGTGGCCATCGCTAGGAACCCAGCACACTGCTGTGTGCCCTTGGGTCTGATCTCACTGAACCCTCATGACCGGGGTGCCTTCCTCCTTCCTCCTCATTTGGCATGTGAGACTGAGGATCAAAGAGGGTATTTAACTTGCCCAGGGCTCACCCAGTCATGGTGGCAGAGCCACAGTGTGCACATGGGTCAGTTTTCAGGGAACCAACAGGGTGCCCAGTGACAGTTGATTTTTGCTGCCAATAATGCCATGGTGCAGACGGAGTGCTGTCCTGGAGCTGGGTGGGATCCAGGTATTGTTCATTTCACATGGGCCTCTGCTTATATAAAACAAGAATGCTGGGCTTGGCAGTCCCCATGTTTCCCTGTGGTAGCCTCTGCTGGGAACAGGTGGCTGTTGAGAAACTCTGACCTGAGCCGCCCCCCTTATAGCTGGGTCACAGGTGAAGTCATTCACACAGGGCTCCCTTTCACCTCCAGCAGCCATCCCTGGCTTGTGCTATCCATCTGGCTATCTCTGGATGTGCAAAAGGACGCCATACCCGCTCCTGCCAGCTGGAGGGTCCTCAGCCACCCCCCACCCCCCCACCCCCCATCTATCCCAATCCTGTTACTTCTCTGCTTCAGGTCCAGTGAGCAAACCCAAGCTATGCTGAGCCTATCCCTCCCCTCCTGGGAAGGCTCTGTCTTGTTTTCCTGTCATGACCATGGGAGCCTTTAAAACCTACTCCAGAGACATGATGGGCAGGGTACAATTGCCTGAGTGACAGTAGGCTGAAGGACAGAAATGTGGCAAGCCAGAGGGAGATGGCCTCTGGCCCAGTGAGCCCCAGAGAGTTGGTGTGCAGCCAGCCTCTCCAGTACCTGAGCCTGAAGTCAGGTGAGGGTTGAGCCAGGACCTTCACGAATAGCTGAAAGTAGTGGGTAACAGATAAGGTCAAAGGCAGGAGGGCCCATCCAAGTCCCTCCCTCATGGCCTGACGCAGCACAGCACCACCCTCCTGCTGAAAGCTGACACTCCAGGCTCCCTTAGTCACTCTGTGGGTTCCTCTCAGACTGACAGAGGAATGGAGCTTGTGGCCCTGTCCCCAATGACCACAGTAAGTGACAGCGAGTGCCCAGGCCTTCATCTGGGTGGGAGGAGAAGTCCAAGGGCGGAAGGGGATTGCTGGGCACTGACATTCTTCCCTCTGTGTCCCTCAGACCTCGACAAGTATGGGTGTGTGCCATGGCTGGGGTGGGGGTTGTGTGTGGAGGGGCAGAAATGAAAGCCTAATCTCCATTCCCTCCACTGCTGTTGCCTCGCTGTTGCAGCACCTGTTGAACTGACTGCTTTTCTGACCTCAGCGTGAGAGGCCCAAGTGCTATGGCAACAGGCAGCTCTTACTTTGTCCAACTAGCAAGAAATAAAAATAGGGCTGGGGTGCTGCTCGGTGGGAGGGCGCTCGCAGTTGAGCAGTGTCTGCTTTAGCCAACTGTCCACATCTGGCATTGTTAGTTTACATGCTGATCTGCTGCTCTGTCTTTCTGTTTTTTGTGGTACTGAAGACTGAGCCCACAGCATTTGCACTGAACTACATTCCCAGCCCTTTTCATTGTTTATTTTGAGACAGGGTTCAGTTAAGTCACTAAGTTGCTCAGGGTGGGCTTGAACTTTTGATCCTTCTGTCTTAGCCTCCCAGAGGGCTGGAAATACAAGTGTAACCACCACGTCAAGGCTGCTGCTCCATCTTAAAGGTACACATGCAGGCGTTTGTCTGATTTCCAAATTGTATCTCAGTGCTTGTTGTAATACTCTCTGCCTTATGGAATTTATTGATATCCATTTTCAGTGGATGGGAAGAGTGTGGGAGTTAGGCCAAGGATTTGAGCCAGGGCAAGTGAATGAGTTTCTCTGAGCCACAGTTTACCAAATATAAAGTGGAAGTAAATAGTGGCAGTAACAATAATAATACTCGTCAAGTTGCTCTGGGGACCAGAGGGAGGTGGCAGTGTAGTCTAGGAAGCTGGAAGGCACTCAAGAAACTTGATGGCTTTTGTGTGTGTGATGCTCTGGATGTATAGATGTTATAGAAAGAGCAAGCGGGAGGCAGGTAAATGGGGCTCATTCCCTATGGAAAGCCAATCAAGTTATGCGGCGGGCTTTGTGTTATGCAAATTCACCGGCAACATTCTCAGGAAGTCCGGCCTGCTTGGAAGAATGGCTGGCTGATTGGGTCTGTGGAGAGGAGGGTGGTGCTGTGCTTTAGACAAGGTTTCAGTGTGTCCCCCGGAGGTTCACGTGCTGGAGGCTTGGCCCCCAGTGCTGCGACATTGAGGATCAGTGGAACCTTTAAAAGGTGAGGCCCAGTGCGAGGCAATCAGGTGCTGGACACAAGGCCCTAAGAAGGGATTAATTCTGGCTTTGAAGACTGACTTAGTTCTCGGGAGAATGAGTTGTTATGAAAAGAGCAAGTATTGCTCCTGAATCCCTCTGGCTCCTCTCTTGCCATGTGACCTCTTCCTCCTACTCAGGGGCTGGACCTAGGTTCTTGGATCTCCAGAACTCTGAGCTAAATAAACCTCTCTTCTTTATAAAGCAGCCACCATCAGGCAATGTAAAACAGACTAATAGAGATAGTGGTAGGTGGGGAGAGGGCTTGAGTGGATGGGCAGGTGGTCAGACACAAGCTTGTAGCATATTTTTGCTTTGATCTTGCTCTTTTTTCATCCTTATATAACTTAAAATTTATTTATATTTTTATTTATTTTGGTACCGTGGATCAAACTCTGGACCTTGCCCTTATGAAGCAGGCGGTGGAACCACTGAGCTAAATCGCCAGCCCTAAAATTTATTTTTTGTCTGGGACAGAGATTTGCTCAGTGAAGGACCCTAGTTAGCAAGACAGACTCCATATTGCTGCTGAACGACCCACCTGCCTGCCCTTTAGATGAACTCAAAAGGAGGAAGCTTAGAAACCTCCTCCCCTTAGAGAGTGTCTTAGAAACAACAATTAATCAACTATTGTTTTACAAACGTTCTAACAGCAGGACATTCTGCTTCTGTATCTTTTGTTTGCTTTACTAGTTCTTTTTTTTTTTTTTGGTACTGGGGATCGAACTCGGGTCCCTGTGCTTGCGAGGCAGGCGGCAGAACCAGTGAGGTAAATCCCCAGCCCTGCTTTACTAGTTCTATCCCATAGGGGGGCCTAGAAACTGCTAGCCTCAAAGGTGTATAAAACATGTTTGTCTCCCCCAAGTCGAGGCTTGAGTCCGATGCTCGGCTCGGATCCCGGCCGGTAATAAACTCCTGTGTGGATTTAATATCGGTCTCTGGTTGGTTCTCTCTCACTGGGTGTAACACTCAGCATAGCAGTTATATGCTCTTGCTATTTTTTAATTCTCAAAATTTGAAATGTACACATTTAAAATTTGCCTAAAATTGGTCACTTTTGTAGAAGACATTCTCCTTGGTGCTGTCCTTTACAGCCACCAGGGTGACACTAGTCCACTCCCTTAATGTTCCTGAGTACAGGCGCAGACTTGAGACCCGAAAATCAAAATTCCAGCTTGGATCATGTTGATTGGTGCACAATGTGTGTACATGGATTCATTCATTCATTTAGCACACAGTTATTGAGCACCTATTGTATGCCAAGCACCAACCTGGGTACAAGGATGCAGAAATTAATGTCTCTATGGGCCATCCAATTGGTAAGAGAAGGCAGAGACAACAAGCAGCCCATTTCCACATGGCACCATCCGTGTTGCCATGTGGAAATCTGTGCCCACTGGCTACCTTGGTGGCCGGGCTGGGCTCACCATGGAGCCCAAGGGGGCAGTCTGTAGGACACAGGAGAAGGGAGTGGCCACTTCACAGAAGCTAGGCCTAGAAGGGCCCTCACACCCTGTCTGTCACATCCCCCTGCTTGGGGAGGATGTACAATTTGAACCTTTTTGACCTCTAGGGAAGCCAGGTTAGCTTTTGCAACAGTTTTGACAATGCCATCTCCCTATTACTAATTTCATAATCCCTCTTGAGGCCATGGATGAGCCAGCGCTTGCAGGCCCCTGACCTTTCTTGCTGACATTTTCAAATTTTTTCTGGAGGAGTACTTATTGCCAGTATTACAGTATAAAATAAACCTAACTGTTACAGTAAAAAATAGACACTTTCAGCTCAACATTTTGAAGCAGAAAGGAAGCATATGTGTTAAGAACAGTGATTCCAAACCAGGTGATTTTGTCTCCTACAAGATATTTGTCAATATCTAGAGACATTTTTGGTTGTGACAACTGAAGGAGGAGATACTACTGGCATTTAATGGGCACAGGCCAGGGATATAGTTCAACCTACTATCATGCACAGAACAGTCCTGCAACACAAATAATCCCATAGCCCCAAGTGTCAGTAGTGCCAAGATTGAGAAATCCTGGAGCAGGAGCAACCTTGGTCATCAGAAAGATACCCATAGTGCTGCTATGTATTTCTTTATTTATTCAGTTATCTTGGGATATACCTAGGAGTGAGATTGCTGGATCTTATGGTAATTGTCTCCTCCTCCTCCTTTTCTTCCTCCTCCTCCTCTTCTTTCTATTTCTTGGTACTGGGGATCAAACTCAGGGCCTTTGTACTGAGCTACATCCCCAATATTTAAAAATTTTTTTAAATTTTGAGACAGGGTATCACTAAGTGGGTAAGTTGCCCAGGTTGGGCTTGAGTTTATGACCCTCCTGCCTCAGCCAACCAGAATGCTAGGATTATAGGCATGCACCACCATGGCTGGCTCTGTTTTCAGTTTTTAAAGAAACCACTCCAAACTGGTTCCACAGCAGCTCCCTTATTTTAAAATTCCACAGGAAATCAGCAAGGGTTCTAATTTCTTGA